TGAATCCCAGTGGCAGTGTCATTGGGTGTAAGAAGCCTTTCAATTACGATTGTCCGTAGTAGTTGTGTGATCTGCAGTTCGATGAAGTATAATGAGCACAGATGTGTGTGGAAGAGAGGATGTGTGAGGGAAGTGTGTGTGTGTACATTGTATAATACATAATATGGGTGAGCATATGTGAGTACATATGCGTGTGTTTATTTATTGTGTGTGTTCATCCAAGAAAACATCTATATTGCAAACTACAAGTATGTGTGTGAATCTTGAACTCTTGAGGAAATAAATGTTTTGGGCCATTGAGACTCAGAGAAGACCAATCTCTGAATACAAAACAATCTGAAGCTACAAACGCAATACAAAATATATGAATTATGCTAACAACAACACTGCCGATTCAAATATATTCAACATTAGAGAAACACAGAATCAGATTGGCGCTCATATGACCTTATGCAGTTGCGAGCGCAGTAAAACCTCTACTAAAACTAAAAAACCCAGAATCAGATAATTATGCCAAAATTAACAGTAAAGATGTGAATATTTATTGTTTGATATAGCCTATGTGTGCTAGATGCGTTGAAAATGTCAATCTTTTGATGTAGCGGACGAGCAGCACTTTCAGAAATCAACCAGAGCTCAGGGGCTCCATAAGGTGGAGAATAGAAAGTACTCTCTTTTATTTCCCACATATCAGTCAAATGGGAGAACCAACAGTCCGGGGAGAGAATGAGCACTCAAGGGAAGGGATGAGGGGCGTTACAATAATAATTATTGTTTTATAACCTCCTATGGAGAGAGCCAACTATCAAATGGTATAAAGTCGACAATCATGTGGTAGAGAGTCGACAATCAAGCAGGAGAGAGTCGACAATCAAGCAGGAGAGAGCCGACAATCAAATGGTCGAGAGTCGACAATCAGGCAGGAGAGAGTCGACAATCAAATGGTAGAGAGTCGACAATCAAGTTGTGAAGAGTCGACAATCAAATGGTAGAGAGTCAGCAACCAAAGAGTAGAGAGTCGACAATCAGGCAAACGAGTCAACAGTCAGAGAAGAGAATCAACAGTTGGTGTTTGCAAACAGGCAAAGGCTTGTTGTTCAAAGCGCCCTCAGAAACAAACAACTACGTCGGCCAGCGTTTCAGATGTTCTAAGCTCAAAAACTTTGAAATTCTTTTTTTTAAATTTCACTTTCTTTATCTACGCATGGGTGGCATAATATTCTCACAAACTACTTGGTAGAAAACCATATCCTAAATTTTGAAGAAAACAAACAAACAAGAGACTGTATAATTTAGGTATAGATCTAGATCTAGTTTAAATTTGTAAAGTAGTTAACACCGGTTTCCCTCTATCATTATTTAACCCAATCCGTACGCCCTGGGGTCATTTTTTTACACCTGCGGTTGTATTCTTCACATTTTAGAATACTTCTAGTACGAACATCTCTTTGAAATTTTCAGTATTTCAAAAAAAAAAAAGAAAAATCATTTTGACAGACCGCTTTGCATAGCGTACGGATCGGATTAACGAGTTTAATTTCCTCTTTAGAAAGTGATGGCACAGAGTTCCCCCTGTTGTATGGATACGATATAAAAATTAAGTACTGCTTGCACTGTATGCTTCCCAAGAAGTTGAGGTTGTTTCAGAATGCTTTCAGGTCTGCTGGGGTAATAGTATAGATTGGTAAGCGCATAGAGTTTGCTGTTGAGTGGGGATTTGCGCTATACAAATGCTATCTATTATTATTATTATTACGAAGTACGGATAGGGTTAAAAATAAGTTCGTTTTCTCTGTGCTTGTAACAGATAGACAGCTTGTCGACGACAGCCATCTTGTCGGTGGTTCGAGACGACAGAAAATTCCTTATCATTTCCCATGTAAAGCGTGTAAGAGATAATAATAATAATGTTTTTCTATGTCATGATAGCAACAATAAGTAAAAGTTTGAGTTGTTTTTTTATGTAGGTGTTTTGATACCTCCGTAGCCACAACTTAGATCATTATGGTCGCTTTTAAGCGCAAGTGGCCTATCCCGAAAAAATGCTGTTTTGAGAAAATCAAAGTTAAATTTTTGGACTCTTGTTCAATTTCTATAAAAGACAAGGAGAGTTTTCTCTATAACAAAACAAATATATACACCAATGAAATCAAACTTCACCTATAGGCAGGGAAATGCCCGCTTTTGGTGTAGGTCAAGATGTCTAGAAAGCCCCGAAATCTGGGTTAGCCCGCTTGTCCTTAAAAGCGACCATAATAAGGAGACCGACTTTCACCCTGCCTGTGAGAGCCAACCCAGGCTGAGAGGAATACAACATAGGCTACCAGCAGAAAGACTCCAATTAAAATTCTCCCCACTCGGGAATCGAACTCGAATACCCTGCGTGTGAGGGCGAAGCGCCTGACCGCTACTTTGCCAGTATAGACGTGTAGTGTGTTGCTCTCGTACACAGACGCATGTTATTTCTGACACAGGCTTGTAGTGTGTCCTCGTACATAGACATTTCTCCTAACACATGCGTGTAGTGTGTACTGTTTTACTGACAAGTCCTGACACACGTGTGTAGTATGTTCTCATACATAGACATTTCTCCTGACACATACGTGTAGTGTGTACTCATACACAGACATTTTTCCTGACACACGCGTGTAGTGTGTACTCATACACAGACACTTATTCCTGACACACGCGTGTAGTGTGTACTCATACACAGGCATTTATTCCTGACACACGCGTGTAGTGTGTTCTCGTACATAGACATTTCTCCTGACACATGCGTGTAGTGTGTACTCATACATAGACATTTCTTCCGACACACGCGTGTAGTGTGTACTCATAGACATTTCTCCTTACACATACGTGTAGTATGTACTGTTTTACTGACATGTCCTGACACAGGCGTGTAGTGTGTGCTCATACATAGACATTGCTCCTGACACAGGCGTGTAGTGTTTACTCATACATAGACATTTCACCTGTCACACGCGTGTCGTGTGTACTGTTTTACTGACATTTCCTGACACAAGTGTGTAGTGTGTACTTGAACAAGGACATTTCTCCTGACACACGCATGTAGTGTGTACTCATACACAGACACTTATTCCTGACATACACGTGTAGTGTGTTCTCATACAAAGACATTTTTCCTGACACACGTGTGTAGTGGGTTCTCGTCCATAGACATTTCTCCTGACACAAGCATGTAGTATGTACTCTTACACAGATATTTCTCCTGAAATAGGCGTGTAGTGTGTACTCATACGACATAGACATTTCTCATGACACATGCATGTAGTGTGTACTGTTTTACTGACATATCCTGACACAAGCGTGTAGTGTGTAGTACTCGCTCAAGGACAGTGTACCCATATATTGACAGTACAAGCCAGTAACGAGTCTTCGTACAGACAGTTATCCTGACACGCGCGTGTAGTGTGTAGTCATACATTGACATTATTTCTGGCGCACGCATGTTGTGTGTAGTACTCGTACAAAAACAGTGTACTCATACATTGACAATATAAGCCAGTGAGTAACGTGCCTTCTTACAGCCAGACAGTTATCCTGACACACACGAGCCTGTAGTGTCTCCTCGGACACAGACGATTGTCCTGACCTCACGTGACCCCACGTGACCCCCACGTGATCCCACGTGACCCATCAGTCCTCTCTGCCGTTGAGTCCGGCGCCATGTTTGTCCAGTAAGGGGGTCCCGTGTCCGTTGACAGCCTGCAGCTCGATCACAGGAGGCTGCTCTGTGCCGTTACACTGCACTTGGTCTGCAAACAATGAAGGAACACTTCATATATATTATATATTATATACAAAAATGTATAGACATA